AAAAAAAAAAGGCGTATTGTTTCATTCTTTGTGCGATTATACGTGCTGAAAGTGATATAAAAACGTTTAACAAAGACAAAGTCAGCATCTTCCAAAGTTGTGATGCATAACTCAGTATAGTTGAGAATAACAATGATAAATTGATAAGTACAAGTTATAATTGAATACGATAATACCATTATGATAAAGTGAAAGTATTGTTTTCTGTTGGAAAATGTGATTGGTCTTGTAATCTAGACTATTCTTGGATTTATGGAATTTTTTAAATCCGTGAGATAAAAATCCACACGATATATTTGTATTCTTGATAACAATTTGTATAAATCTTATATTTCATTATATTTCTAATTTTCAAAAGAATTTCAGATGTAAATTTCACGTGATTGAGTAATTCTAATGTAATAGATATGAAATAGATAGACATTTAATAAATATTTTTTAATCAAAATTTGTGTTGTGTTTATATTTTTACTGTTGCCAAATTTCTGAATTATGTAGTTATTTTATCTGAAAAAAACTATAACTTAAACTTAAAAATCATAGAAGTTAAGTATTTAAACTTAATAACCATATTTTAATTTTATCGTCTATGGAATATATAACATTAACAAAATATCTTTTATCATATTGCAGGTGGTAAAGGAGCTTGCTCTTCCTTTATTGAAAGATGTTTCGCTTTCATTGGAGAGAATGCTGTAGATACAGTCAAAACAACAGCATTTTGCAATCTTCCAAAGGACGCTCTAGTGAAATTAATATCTTCAGACTACCTAGGATTGGAGGAAGAAGATGTTTGGAGAGCAGTACTGAACTGGGCTAAATATCAGGTTCTTTTTCTTTGAACATTTTATTCCGTTTCCGAGCACTTTGAATCCGTTGAAAATTCCAAGAAGACTTAACGTTCTGATCATGCGTATGTCGTGCAAGGTCTTAGACCTTATATCGCATACGATTATTACCGGGTCCTTGGGTCCTTAGGTTCTTGGATCGGAATTTAGAATTACGAGTTAAGGAACGCTTAACCGTACGGACCACGCTCCTAGGCAGGGGTGACGCAGCCTACTCAACACTGGACAGAGGAGGAACGTGTGCGGGTTTGCCAACATTTATCAGGGGTGATAAACCACGTTCGCCTGCTTCTAATCGACAGCCAGGTCTTTGCGGAGGAGGTAGAACCAACAGGAGCAGTGCCCATAGAACTTTCCTTGGAGAGGTACGAATTTTTCAATCCCGATCGATCAAGTGGCACAAAACCCATAAGGTATGGTTTGCCAGGAAATTTTCTTATTCTTGGAGGCTTTCGATTTTTACATTTTGTTTTAGATATAGGTATGCAGCCCTACCAAATAAGTATGCAGAAATCTGTGCAGATAAGCGGCTACAGCCAAGAGTAAGTCCATTCTTGTTTCCTGGGTCACAAATCCTATCGCGAGATAAAATGGGTTTCCAACGTCTTCTCAATCAATGGTATGGATCACCAAAGCAAAGTTGGCGTTTAGTATATCGGTACGTTTAACCCGTGTCGAGAAAATATGTATATTAAGATCAATGCGATGCTAACTACGAATATGTTTCAGAGCCTCTAATCATGATTACTCTGCAACAGCCTTCCACCGACATTGCGATGGAGTTTGTCCAACATATGTAATTGCATTGGTAAATAATTTATATATATATATAAAGTGAATAACAGCCTACAACTAGAAAACAATAACCTAACTTTTTAGGGAACTCGAGGAGAAATCTGTGGTGGATTTAGCGACGCACCGTGGGGTAAAACAAATGCTAAAGGACATTATATCTTCTCGGAGAAAGCTTTTTTATTTACCCTGACTAACAACCAAGATGTACCTCCAACAAAATACGATATTGTAAAGAAGCCCTTTGCAATTTGTTATCATCCAGAGTAAATATTATTTCACCAACTATTATAAAACATGGAATGAATTCTACTGATTAAACCGACTCTAATACTTTTACAGCATTGGACCAATTTTCGGAGCAGGAGCTGATTTGTTAATTTCTAGTAACTGTAACGTGAACAAGGAAAGCTACAGTAATCTTCCCCATAGCTACGATGGGGAACACGCTTCTAACACTGTACTCATGGGAGATTATCATTTTTTTGTAGTAGATTACGAAGTCTTCACTCCCAGCCACCCAGTTTCCAAATCTACTCATTAATAATATAAGTATTTTTCATTCCATGAGCTGAATGAGCTTGTACATATTCTTTTTAAGCATAGTAAATTTCACGTAACATCGCGAGTATAATATAAATTAGAAATTCATTAGATATTAAAAAAATGAAAGCATAAAAGTTAAAAGCACAAGTTGTTCAGTTTATAAGGTTGTTGAGTAAATTTTGGTACAAAGAAGAAATGTAACTTTTTATGCTGTTCAAAATAAAGAATAACTCAGAATTATTTTTTAGTCTTTCCAATGTTAATGAGCAGCGAATAAGAAGTCGTCCTATATTGGTATTGGAATCTGGCTCTCGATAGAATTAAAGTATGCCAAACGATACTTCGTGGTTTGCATAATGAATGCTTGATATGCCACGATTCTCAAGGAACTCGTTAAATTGTCTAAGCCTCACGTTAAATTGCCTTGTGAACGAATGAAATCTAATCTGTATTACAATGGCGCATTCGAAAGTAAACGTGAAATGTGAAAATCCACGGAAAAATGCGAACTACTGAGTATGCATTAGAGTATCAAAGGCGCCGATGACACGGATGTATACTTGATAAGTAAAATCGTACTGATTCTACTTATCCCTAGTTGAAATTTAAATTTCAATTTACCTGAAAAACTGTGTGACAATTCGAACCACGTATCCCAATTAAGTACGCAAAACATGAAAATTTATTCACTGCACGATGCATTATTTGGCACTTTCTCTTTAAATAATCAAACAGAATATTCACCTTTCCCTTCATTTTTGCAACTGCATATTTTGACACATTTATCCATTGCCTCAGAATTTTGCCGATGGAAGAGTATAATTTTTTCACAGAACTACACTTTGTTTGACATATTTTGAATGACAAGAAAATTGATCACAGACACCGATTATCAACGCGATTTTAACGCGACGAGATTGATATTCGAATTGTACAAATCTAACGCCAGGTTGCTACTGGTCAAAATTCAAACTGAATGTCACTAGTCAATATCTTGTCATTTTTAATTTATAATATACTTCGAATATTTATTAATAACAGTAAACGTAATTTTTAAATGTCAAACAGCATATATAATAACGAAAAAGATTATTTTACTTATATATCTTAATTGAAAAAAATCATTTTAATTTTGAATATAATATTTTCTTACTCGCGCATGACTAACGTAGTTGACATCTACTTCGAACGTTCCATTTTTCGGATTCTGTTCCGCGTTCCGTGTTTCTCGATAGGTTAGTAAAGCGGTGGCGCGAAACATTGTATATCGTTGTGGTAACTGTGCCTGATTATTTCCTATTTATTCGTGGATACACGTTGCTTTGCAGGTGAGTTGCGTAATAATGTGAAAATATTGACTTTACTCTACGCGATTCACGTAATATTTGCGGTTCTCGTGAAGGTGTTACGAAAATTCTAGTTGGTTCACATGCATGCGATTTTTGTACGTATGAACTATACGGGCGCCCGTTCTATTTGATATACACGGAAAAGTCGTAAAAATATATTCCACTGAAACTATTTGATACTATGTACACAAATTTTTAATATTCACGGCGATAGCTCGGTCAATTTGTATACGTGTATATATTTTCGAATTTATGCCACAGTTATGTCGAATATTTAGTTATGTTGAAATGTTGCAAGTATGGACGGCCATATTTTTTTTATCATTTAACGTATCACGTGACTTTACTTACTGATATCTTCTGAAATATTTTTTACAGAATAAGTATCTCTCTTGTTTGATTATTTGTGTATTTTTCATTTCAATTTTAATTTCTCGAAGCGAAGTAGTTTGAAAAATTATCAGAAAAATAATTAAATTATATTTTTATAAATTTTTTATCAAAATATGTAATATTTTTAGGTATCACCAATGGAGATGTAATCACGTGACGCTAAAATGTAATCGGAGATATCGTCAACTAACGTAAGTAAATTGAAAATAACATTCGATTAATTAATTGTATATTTGTAACAATCCTTTTTGTTAACGTTATCATTTGCATTTGTTTGTACCATAATTCTGTACAATAGCTCGTTCTATTTTAACACTTTAACTAGTTTAATGTGGCAGTGAGTGGTGTCTGTAATTCTAAGAAATCGCTAATTCTACTATTTAATGATTATTGCGTTACAAATATCGCAAAATCAATTGAAGAAGTGTTCATTGATCAACAACGGTAAATAAGTATTCTTTCATCAACATTAAAGAATGCTAAGAAAAAAAAGGTATTCTCTGATGAAAATTGTTCAGTTCATCAATCTAGGTCACTAGATATCGGAACTGCAATACTATAGTTTTTAAAAGTAATTTATATTTACAAATATGAGGGCCCAGGGATTCATAGATTTGTACTTTACTTGTGAAATAGCATGGCTCTGTATTGGCTTTTGTAACGTTGTCATTGAGAATTGCGTTAAATATATTATGACGTATCTCGTTCATAGTTCATTTGTTTCAATGAAGAATGATTTATATAATTGTTTAAATTCGTAAAATACACTGCTCAAATTAATTAGGGCATTACTTAATGGAATATGGTAACCGATACTTTCGCAATTTGGAACATATATATATATATATAAAATACCTTTTATCATCTTGGTAGACCTGATCACATTTTTCTAATTATTTCGAGCATTGTAATTTATTAGTCACTATCACCTACTAGCTATATACAAGTAAGTACTTACTGGCCCGGGTCCCGTTCACGCAAACCTTGCCTAACTATTATTTACACTTTCGCTCCCGCCTTATCTGTTAACTTCGGTAAATAGAATTACATGTACCCATGTACAGACTTAGGTATTAATTAAATAAAGTATTTCTACAATTGCACGTGTTCGGAATTGCAATACAATCAACAATATTAACCATTGAACGAAATACTGGCCATTTATTGACTACTCTCATAACCATCGATAACAAGTATCTAACGAAGCATAAGGGTAGAAAATCGTTAATAATATCTCTTCGTTGTTATACCGTTCGAGTTTAACGACGAAAGAAACGCAATCGTTTCAATTATATTTACGTACTCTCTGCATACGATTGTTTACAATTTCACTTATCTCGTTCGAATGCCCGACGAACTTCAAATACGTAGTGTTCCTCGTTGTTTCGAAATATTGTCATGGTCGGTCCTGCGAAAATTTTCCCGGAGGATCGATCCGACGCACAAGCACCTCGAGGGAATTAAAAAAAAAACAGCATTTCGAGCGACGTGACGTAAATCGCGCACGACCTAATGTCTCTACTAAAAGCAAATCTGTGTTCGAGCAACTTAGGCTTGGCCAACAAAGGCTGGAAAAGTATCGTCCACGCGGTTTCAGCGAGAGCAGGGTCCCTCGATCGTGACAAAAGGCACAGGTATTTCACCGAAATTCTCTGGCAAGCTATGTCCGCCGGACTCGTCATGGACATCCGGCGAACAAGGCCCGTCGCGATTACGATTCTCATATCACGGAGATTCTTCAGACGCGAGAATGTATGAATAGGTGCGGGACAAAAGCAAAGAAGAGGCGGCAAAGCGGCAGCGACGGAGGCGTTTACATTGGCAGGCGTCGAACGCTTGTAAGATAAAGCGGTTGGCAACGTTCTACACGTGTACGTCTGTTTGTAACGCACGTTCCGAACACGTGCACCCTGCAGTTTGACGTGTTTATCAACCGATGCACCACGGTTGCACTCCGTCGTTGCTCTCCTGGTTCTGCAAACGCGTCAGCACCAGGTTATCCAGCTCTTTTCTTCTTTCTCTCTTTACCGTCTTGTCTCTCTCCTTCTCTTCGTCCTTCTTTATCTGACGTGATTACCGTAGAAGCGCGCGCGCGCGCGCGCTCGTTAATTAAAGCGGAGGACTCTCGTTAAAGTCGATTGGCTTTTGCGCAACCAGCCATCGATCGGCGACTCGCGATCCTCGCCGTGATTACCCGGAATTGAGACGTTAATTCTTCATTCTTTCAGCCGCCGTGGATATTTATGCGGGATTGCAGCCTCGCCGCGAATTGCGTTTAACTATTCGGCGCGAATGATTTGTCTCCGCGATCACAGCCCGATCCGGTAATTCCTGCTTGACCGGCGAACGCAATTAAAGATTATGTACGATTGTGGGAAGCTCGCTCGACAATAGAGCGCCCGCTGAATCTTCCCGACTGACATTCAACCATTCATGGAAAAGGGAGCGTAATTGATTACGATATCACGCGTCCCTTTCTCACGCGCCATATTTGGCATTCGATTAACTACTATCCACGCTCGCAGCCAATTACTCCGTTTGTCTTTCAGCAAACAAACGACGTTTCAATCCACTCTTCCGAACGAACGTAAATTCTTCCGTTTAAGTTTTCAATCACTATCCGAGTTTTCGTTTAAGATCTCGTCGTTAGATCAATGGGCGTTGACCTCTTTTTCGCAGGAGGACTGTCTCGATCGCTCACATTCTCCGTGTCTATTTCATCTTCCTCCGTTCCTTCGTTGCTAACAGAAGTGGCGACTGATTTCATGGACAGGTCCATGGGATTATCTTGAGGAGGAGGGCAATCCGTTTCCGACCCTACGTTACACAGTGGCGAATTATTTCGAGAACGTTCCTTCACCGTCGGTGAGCCTTCCGCGTGTGTTCGTTGACTTTTCAACACTGCATCCAGGTAGAATCTTTTGCTATACGTTTCCCCACATTCTTCGTTCGGCGAGGGACTTTGCCTCGACGTCTGGACGTTATTATTATGCGCATATCTGTCGTTGTTGTTATTACTATGATTATGATTATGATTATGATTGTGATTATTATTATTATTAGTATTATTATTATTATTAATATTATTATTATTGTTGTTATTGTTATTTCCACACGAGTCTTTGCCATCGATGGTAATTGTCGTGCTGGTCGTGATAGCGGTTGCAGGTGTGATCGGACTGGTTGTGTCTTCGATCACAGGTGAGTGTCGTAGCAGAGTCGATGAATGGTTCGGTACCAAGGGGTGAGGAGCTCCGTGAGACGTCGCATATAAATGATAGGGCGAGAACATGGTGAGACTTGGCGGTGGTAGAAACGCGGGTGGAATCAAGGACATTCCACCGAGGTGAAAGCCAAGGGGTAAACTCATCATTTCTTTGCTGAGCGCCGACAGGTCGGCCACGGAGGGTTGCAGGTGTGAGTGTAACGGTCTGAAGCCTGGGTGTCCAGAGAAGGCTGCCCTTCTTTCCGATATTTCTACGGAACTGTCACTGTTGTGCGATTCCGGAGAACTGATGCTAGGAGAAGTCGAGTTCTTGTAGTCGTCCAAACCTAGCATCAGCGCGTCGTCTTTTCGTTGACCTGAATGTATTCCAATAGGTGGGCTCATGGGTTTTCGTTGCTGCGTTAGAGGTTGGTTAGGCAGATTCTGCTGATATTGTTGTTGTTGCTGTTGCTGCTGCTGCTGCTGTTCTTGCAGCAGACAATGAATTTTGAACCAGTTCGATCTGCGCCCGTATCGCGAGCCAGATTTCGACATACCCACGAGCAGACATTTTCGTAGACGACAGGCCTTGCAGGCTGTTCGGTTCTTCTTATTGATCACGCACTCTCCGCCGTTTTTGCATTCGGAAATACTACTCAGGTTGTTGTACGACCTGCCGAAGAAAGACTGAAACAGAGAAAGGGAATATTTCGTTATTGTTAATGCGGTATATGATAACTTTATTCACGTTAGTTACGCCGACAGAAGGAATCAAGCTTCAGACGATTACAAAGAGAGACAAAATCTAGAATGCAAATTCAGAGGTCATAGATTCGCTCGGGAGATCCGACGCGGCTGCAACGGCATTGTGCCCCTCATAATGAGTACGGTAAAGTTGTTAGACGGTAACAGTGTGCTCTCGTTGTCTCATTCATGTTGTACAGCGGGGAGTCAGCTGGTGTAGGCGCGTGCGGCCTACTGTGCTCGTGCTAATTGCCCAAATGGTGCAATTCCATGATTCCGACACCGTTGCCTTTCCGTGTCGGCGTCACGAAACGGTCTCCTTTCGTTTGCACATATTCTCTCTCCGCTTCTTTCCGATCTACCCGCGTTTCGTCGACACGAAGTCGATGCGTTCTACTTCCACTCCATTACGTTGAATCGAGAAATACTTCCGACACACCGATGGAACTTCTTACACGGAGAGTTACTTCGAACGCGCGCCAGCATCGCACGGATAACGCAGATAGCAAATAACTCGAATGGCAAATTCTGTCTTGCGAAACGCGTACAATTTAAGGCCTCGTTTCTTATGACAGACATCGAATCAGCCTCGAATGATGTATGCATTTAAAGCCGAGTCCCGACTATTGCGCCCCCCGAAACACCTACGATTTCCTGTGTAACCTGATAGAAAATTTCGCCCTTCGCGGTTAATGATCAGTCTTTAAAGAGACGCAGGTTCGCGCATGCACGTGACGTCCACTTTCGCTTTTTCTGCTCGTACGCACGCTATATTATTAATCGTTTCTGGTTCGTTTGTTCTGAAAACGAGCTCTTCCTGCGGCCCAGTGGTCCCAATGCGCGCATTGCCGAGACCCACCACCCGCCACTGTGTTCCACTTGTCTTTCACGTTTACCATGTTTACATTACCCGAGCCACCATGTCGCAAGGTCATATCTTATCGATATCGATCGATCCCGCGATCTTTTATTTCCCCGAGATTGTCGCTTTAAGATCTAAGGATTGAAAATTGGTTCGCGACGAGGGACTATGGAGATAAGGAGAATATGCGCGACGGTTCAGAAGCGATGACACAATCAAGAAAATGCTACCGTTATTACATGCCCCCTTCGTGGCGCGCAACACGGGCTTGTGTTATGCAAAAACGGGGCAGCAGCGGGGTTTGAAACATCAAAGTGTTTGCCGGCTCGCGCCTTTTCATCGTCAAACCTTCCACAGTCGGATTGTACTACGGTTTCCTTTCGAAAACTGCTCGATAAATAGACCGGCTAATTACGCCACGGCTGAACTTTCGTGCTAAGAAACGTATCTCTGACTCACGCGGCGAAAGAAGAAAAAAAACAAAAAGACGAAGACTGAAAAGAAGGAGAGGAGCGACAAAGGTTGAAATTCGTTCTGAGTTGTGGACGGCGATAATGAACCGTTGTGCCATTTTTACCGGTTTCATGCTTGTTCCTTTTTTTCAAAGACCCGACAATTGAATCGTTGGCTACATTGGTCAATTATATCGGTTACGTCGATCGTTGTACGAAGTCAAGGGCCGTGACAAGTCGCGCTCTTCGAGTTTTCACCGTGAACGATGCGTATCTCATAGATCGTGAGACAGATTTATCTTCGGTAACGAGAGGAGACATTGCAGCCGCGCGAGCACGTGCACGCGCGTTTCGTCAATTCGTTCTGATCACGGAGCGGCTTCGAGGCAGCGCTTCCGGCGCTTCGCACTTGCCTGCCACAATTGTTTCCGCCCTAGTTCACGATTACGTCAGCTCGACATTGTTTCGTTTCGTTATTTTCGTTTTCAGGCCCATCGTAGCATGTCAGCTCTCCCCTCCTCGACGTTCCTACTATTCTACTCGACATCGTTTGCTTTTACGCTCGACTCGCGGCGTACTACAAATTCGACCGTACGCGGCTCGTTCGTACGTTTTCTTCTCTGAGAGACGTCGTAGTTCCATTCTAAAATTTTAAATACAAAATCTGTGACATTCTTACGAGGCAGGGTAATTGCAGAAGAAAACTGAACGCCATATTTACGATTCCACTTGTATCAGATTCAATATATATTGAGAGTTTGAGATTCCAAGATCCTAACGAACTACTTTTCGAGACGGATCTTCGCATAAATTGTAAATCATGTAGGTCGTTTTAATCGGGAGAAATCGGTCGGACGCTCGATCGGTGTTCCTCGAACGTCCCTTTGAAGTTAGAAATTTAGCTCTCCTTACACAGCGATCGCTGACCGGTTCACCAAACATGGTCGCTGTTACTTTTGGGGGGACCTGGTTGACACGCATGCCTAGTCAAACGTTTAACCTCGGCCACGAAGCGGCTCGTGAAAGCGATCAACGTTTCTCAGCTTTGCGAAACCGTGGAAAGATCGCCGGTCAACAGCGTGCAGAAAGAAAAAAAAACAGAGAGGAAAAAAATGGAACCAGTTGGAAAACTTCTGGCAT